CGGGCAGGTAAGAGCTCGTCAGCTGCCGGGGAGCGGGGAGAGGGGTGCACGCAGGGCTTGTCCATTTCCATGGCATCAACCCTCTGGCTGGGAAGAGACGAAAAGGGCCCATCATATGCGGTGTTTCCACCGTGTAACAGCCAGTGAGGACTTCAAGAGCACGGGTTTGTACAGTTTTATAAACTTATAAAGCTTATATAATTTAATTTAAAATAATGGTCCTGTTTAACAACAAGCTGGCAGAACTCCCAAAAATGTAGCGGTTGATCTCGTGAGCTGCTCCCTACAGCCCACCAGTGGCTCGCTGGCTCACTGAGGGTCCTGAAAGCAATTTCAAAATTATGTAAACCAGACGAGGTTAAGTGAAGCTGGAATAGAATACGAAATTTTAGAGCAGATTATATCTAGTCAGGATGTCAAGTACTTGTGTGAGTGTGTCAGGTCGTGACCTAAAGTGTATTTACTTTTGTGGGTCTTTTAACAAGAAGTGTGAGCAGTTCTGGAATCGGGACTCCAGCTGCCTTTCTGTCCAGCTTCAGAGTGACCGTCAGGAGGGCCGTGCCCATGACCTGCTGCCTGAGGGAGATGCCCTGAGAGCTTGAGGAGACAGACTCTGCGAAAGGAGACCGTGGAGGGGAAAGAAGGTGCAGAGCCGGGTTTGTCCTCAGGTCCCTGAGCTGCGGGCGCCAGTCGCTGTCCTAGGGGTGGACGGGCACCCACACGTCACTGTCTCATGACACCAAGGGCAAGGTGAGCGGTCGTGAGGGGACCCCTCCCAGGGCGCCGGGTCTCAGACTCCCCACAGGAGGGGCCTGGGTCCTGCGGGGCTGCAGCAGGAGCACAGGAGGGAACAGTGAGTGCTCACCTACCACCATCTTGTCCTTTGCAGAAAAATTATTTGGGGCTTCCCTGGTGGCGCAGTGGTTGAGAGTCTGCCTGCAGATGCAGGGGATGCGGGTTCGTGCCCTGGTCCGGGAGGATCCCACGTGCCATGGAGCGGCTGGGCCCGTGAGCCATGGCCACTGAGCCTGCGCGTCTGGAGCCTGTGCTCCGCAACGGGTGAGGCCACAGCAGTGAGAGGACCGCGTACCGCAAAAAAGAAAATTATTTGTTATGTTGAGGTCATTGTAGGTTCGTGTGCGATTATAAGGCGTAGGACAGAGACCCCGCGTCGCCGTCCCCAAGGCCTCGTGTGGTGACGTCCTGCGTGACCGTGGTGACTGCACAGATCTCAGCAGGAGCTGGGAGAGATACAGCCCGCTGCCTACTCGGGGTGCACCAGGGCACAAGCACGCACTCATGTATATGTGTAGATCTGTGTGATTCTGTCACACGTGCACACGCGTGTGGCCACCACCACTGTCAGGGCACAGAACGCGTCCACCCCACGGGGTCCCTCCTGCTGCCTTGTTACGTCCACAGCCATCACCTCCCCCTTCCCCGGGCCCTGACCCCCACTGTCCCTTCCCCGTCTCTGCAGTTTGTCATTCTAAGAAAGTTGTGTAGGGAGTTCCTGGTGGCCTAGTGGTTAGGATTCCAGACTCACTGCCAGGGCCCAGGTTCAGTCCCTGGTCTGGGAACTGAGATCCCACAAGCCTCGCGGCCAAAAAAAAGAAGAAAGAAAAGAAGTTGTGTAAATGGCATCACGCGTGAGCGCAGGAGGCTCTTCCCCGCCTCGAGGTCGCCGGGGTTACTGCGTCAGTCGTCCGTTCCTTTCTGTTGCAGAGCAGAGTCGGCTTCGGCTCCTGCCTGCGGAAGGGAGGGTGGAGGTTGCCTCTGGTTCGCGGCGTCAGTGAACAGCGTGGTTTTGTGAGCGTCCTGTCTTTCGAAGGAGACTCCTCCTCCAGGCGGAGGGTCTGGGGAGAGCGTAAGGCCTCCCTCTGCACTGCCTACAGGCTCACCGGGGGCGGGCTGTGGGGACTGACTCCTGGGAGGAGGTGGAGGTCTGGAGGGACCTGCGGGGACCGCATCCCAAGGTCCCAGGGCAGAGCCGCTGTCGCCCGCCCCCCAGCGTCTCCCAGGCCTGGCACAGGTGCTGCAGGACAGCCAGTGTCTCCTGGGCGCTGGGGGGCGGGGGCGAGGGGAAAGCACCCCGTCCTCACCCTGGGGCTGATGAAACCGCCAAGCCAGCCCGGGTGCTGAGCGCCACACAGCAGCACACAGGCCCCACGGCAGCCGGGTGGGTGGGCACTGCTGCTGGCCCACTTCACAGACCAAGAAACTTAGAGACAATCAAGGGGGAAGAGTTCTGTTCACCTCAAACCATGTGGAAGGAAGCGAGGTAATTTAAGTGGGGTGTCGTGGGCTACGTCTGTAGTAAAAGCAGTATCAGCCCGTCACTTTCACACTCAAAGTTGATTGCCACGTATTCACACCCCCAGGTGCTGTGCTTGTACAGTCTGGCCAGCTGCCACCCTCCACTCCCTCCTGTGCCACCCACGGCCCTGAAGCTGGGAGTGATGGCCACACAGCTCCCGTGAAGGGGTGAGGGGCAGTCCCGGCCGGGCCATCCCGAGGCAGCTCCCCCATCCCCAGAGTCAGCACAACCTCAGAAATGGGCTTTCCCACCATTGCAAAGCAATTATACTCCAATAAAGACGTAAAAAAAAAAAGAAAGAAATGGGCTTTCCATTCTTCCTCAGTGCTGCCACTGTGTTCATAGCTTCGAGACCACGTCAGCTTCTGGGGTTGTCTCCTCTGTTTATTTCCCCGCACCATTCCAGGTGGAGCAAACTGCAGGCCGCGGGGTAGACAGTGATTTCCTGCTCTTCCCACGGGATCTCACAGCTTCTGGACGTGTGCCCCGTGCTCAGTAAACGAATCGCTAAACAAGAGTACACACTCATTCAAACACCTTGTCCGGCCACTGTGCAAGACTGTCTACAAATATTAATAAAACCTTGAAGGAAATACAATATAATGGTGGGCACACAGGTATCATTTTGCTCCTTTCCAGTTTCTTTACTATTACTTTGCATCTCCCAACCTAATGTTTCACAAAAGCAGCAGCTCCTACTGGCCATTGATAAAATCTCTGTTGCGCGGTTGTAACAACCTGCCGAGCAGTTTGCCACCGCGGCTGCCTTTGTCGCTGGGTCTCTGGAGCCTGACTCCCTGGACAGCAAGTGTCTGTGGTCAGAGCTCCTGGGTTTTCTCCTTTGCAGCTTGTGTTGTGATTCTGTTGTGAGGACTGACTGACAGCAAATCCCCATCTCCCGTGGTGTGGATCAGTTACCTCCTCTGCTCCTTTTAGCTTCTGGGATCCTTCGATGGAGATTTTAGAAGAAAAAACACACACCATCCGTCCATAGCTAAGAAGGCAAGACTTGGAGGCTAGTTAATTGCTGATTTCAGGGGTGTCTTCAAAGAGCTACTTGATATTTGGCTAATTATGGTCAAAAATAACAAGTTAAACTTTACTATGATAAAAACGTAGATATTTTGAGCAAATGTTCTTGATAATAAGCGATCAAGGCATTATGCAAGTGTATTCAACAGGCAAACCCATTAGGTACCTGGGGTTATATTTTACTATTAACTCAAACTGACAGGTATGCTGATATTGATCAATGGTGTCGCACATCAACGGTTAGGGCTCCTGTTAGTGAGGCTGGGCCAGGCATGGGCTGTGCCAGTGATCCCTTCATCTCATTGGCTTTACACAGCAGGAGCCATTTCTCACGTTTATTCATCAAGAGGGTTCCAGGGCAGCTGCCTCTCCACAGGGACTCAGGGGTCCACTTAGCTCTGAATTTTAAAGCGAGGCCTCCCAGTCGCCGTGGATGGAGAAGAGAGAGACGAAGCTACACGGCGGTTTTTCCCAGCTTCCAACCAGATGTGCTCACTTCCTAGGCACCCGGTGCCTCGGCGAGCTGCCAGGAGGGAGGCGGCGTGGCCCCTACTCCCCCCGGCCCCCAGCCCATCCCAGGAGGAGCTCCTGGTGCTGGTAGTGGCTCTGACGCTGTCTCCTTGTAGGCGGGCCGAGCCGGGCCTCCTTTGCACCAGCAGCACAGAACATCTGGGCTTTGAGCATCCAACGGGAACTTCAGTGCAGGCGTCTCCCCTCTACGGCTTTTCTCCCCAATGTGGCCCAAATGACAAATATTGGAGAAAGATTATTTGAGCGTGTTATTACTCATCTCTGGATTCTCCAAATGCTTTCTCTCCTAGACTATCAGGTCACCAGAGCCACATTCCTTGACTCCTAAGGGCCTGAGTAAACTATCAGAGAATTAGGATTGAACATTACATTCCCAACTTCTCCATGTGACAGTAGGAGAAACCACTACATTCATTCAACGAATATTAGTTGGACTTTTACCATGTGCCAGGCAGTGTTGTGAGCAGAGCAGCAAAGGTCAGTCATTTGAGATGGAAAAATCCTTCCCTGACTTGTTGAATATCCGTACGAAAAAATTTGCCTAAAAAATTCCTCCTATTGCTTAGTTGACCAAAATACTGTCTTTTCTGAAAAAATGGATACACTTCCTTTTATTATGTAATATATAACATATATGGAAATATGGAAACATGTTTCCATATTTCCCTTTTCACCTTGACTATCAGGAAACTCAGAGCTGAGCTCTACATTCATTGCAGTAGCTGTTTTCACTGCACATGTTTGATACAATAATTTCTTCCTTCAAAAATTTTTAAAATTCATTGTATACTGGTCATTTATTTTATGTCACTTCAAATCCTTTGAAAGTAGACTGAGCAGATATGAATAATAAATTATCTAATTATGCTGTTTTAGCCAATACATAAATATCCACTCGTTGATAGATTGATGCTTCTCAATAAATAAGAGGATTCTAACAGAGAGGAAAAGACAACAGCGAGTTATAAACAAAGAGAGTATAGATGCTTTCTATGAGTCATCACCTTTTCCTTTAATCCCTCAGTATCTTCCTGTCTCTTATAATCACAACTCTAAGGGAACAGATTCTAATTTAGAAAAGAAGGATTAATCCCTTTGGGCAGAACACAGATTTAAGAAGGCATGGTGCCCGCACAGGTCTATGGAGGTGAGTCTTCTTAGGGAAGGAATAGAGGAAGGGTGTTGTGTGGGTCTCCGTGTTGCGTGGGGGGAAAGCGAGGTGCTCACCGACATCTGGCCCCACTGATGTGCGGCCCCACATCCTCATAAACTTACTTCCTACCCTCTGAGCACACGCGTCTTATCAAACCCTCTGATGAGCTGCCAACCTCGTGCTCATCTGGTCTGATTAAAATGATGTCATCGATATGGCAAACCAAACTGATGCTCTGCAGACTGTCCAGACTGTCCAGGTCTCTTTGGGCCATATTATAACAGAGGGCAGGAAAGCCTAAGGGCGAGGTGAGATTCCAAGTGTGTGCTAGGGTCTATGCCATGTGATGTAAACGGCTTCTGATTCTCCCCCTTATTCGGGATGGAGAAGAGAGCATTTCCCAGTTCCATGGCCATATACCATGGATCAGAGGCCATGCTGACGTGGCCTGGAAGTGGCACCACCTCTGGCGTGGCAGCTGCAATGGGGGCTACTGTGTGGTTGAGTTTTTGGTGGTTCAGTGTCATCTTCCAGAACCTATCCGGCATCAGACATGGGACTGGTGAATTATATGATCCTTTAGGTCTTTAAGGGAGGTCCATGTTTCCTCCAGGATGTGTCATTGCTTTTGAGCCTTCCCTGCTGGTATGGCTGTTAACCCACATACCAAGGAACCAAGGTGGGTGTTTTGACAACTGTCACATGCATCCCTACCGGTCCCTTACCTGTGGTGCAAGGAGAAATGATCACTTGGGGGTTCCCTGTGAGCCGCTCCTAGCAGAGTTCCATGTGTTTCTTGGACCTCACAAGTTTTGCTTTAACAGGGGCGTGACGAGCCCTCAACTCAGACCTCAGCCCAGCAGCCCTTCAAACGTCTAGGTGTTTCCCTTTCCATGTGGAATTACATGAGTAAATGGCCACAGGCCCCTCTGGGGACATCCCAGGGGAATCCTCACTGTCAACACGTGCAGCCGGGTCCTGTCCTCCAGTCCACAGGCTCCAGGGCTGAGAACCGCCTCCCGCCTGGAAACTGGGTAAAGGGTTGTGACGTTTTATCGAAGCAACTTTCTTCAGCACCCCCGAGCCCCATCTACGATTTCCTTTGGCAGCATAAACTGAGTTATACCGCTGCTGGCCGGCTCTCCGTCCTGCCCTGACACTGTGCTCCACTGACCATCACTACAGCCTCTGCAGGGCAGGGTGCCAGGGCTGCCGCTGCAGTCTTGCTGCACAATAACTGCCCCTGCCTGGCTTCTGATGTTAAATGTCACCTTCTGGCCTCTATCATGTCACCACCCCATCATCCTCACTGCTCTTAGGGGGCCCAGTGCTCCCTATGACAGCGTCTCCACCCTCGGCCCAGTCCTGCATGTCCAGCCGCGGTTGAGCTCTCTCTGGCACATTCCTCATCCTAGGCACTGACTAGGTTTCCTGGTCTCATGGAGCTTATGTACTCTCCCATGCCATCTCTAAGCACTGGGATGCCTTCCTCGCGGTCTGCCATGACCACAGGGCATTTCCACTTCACTTAGTGTGGAATGCTGCTTTTTACAAGCTTTCAAAGGCCATACTAGGGGCCTGGGGTCCTACATCGTGGTTGAATGATGCCGTACCAGTGAACTCTAACCTGGTCCCCCTTGCGTGCTGCCTCTCCTGGGTCCAGCATTCTCTGGCTCTGCTTCTGCCTCTGCTCACCCAGCCCCCACTGGCATGCCTCCCGGGTCTGTTTGCAGACCCAGCGCTTCCCTGGCTGGGAGTGGAGCTGGACACAGCGCTGGTACCACGCCGCAATCATCTCCAAGCACAGGGGAAGGGGGACACCTCTTCCGGTCCAGAAGGTTTACGGAAAGCTGGGAGTCAAGGTTTTGAGTGCATTAATTCAGATGATGCTCCCCCAAGCCGCAGGGTTACAGCAACCTTCCTTGGGTTGAGCCTGCAGGGAGCCCTGGAGCACCACTACCTTCATGATTAAGTCCTCGCTCTGATCTGCACCTGTTTTGGTTCTCTGGTGTAGGAGATGAGGCTGTCTTTATAGGGTAGCAAGAAAACCTTTTTGTCACACTTTTCTTTAAATGGGAGATCTTTTCACTGCCTTGCCCTCAGCAAGAACCACCTGATTCCAAGGTCGAGGTGATTCCTGCTTCCCAGCCTCCCCATGCCTGAGACACTGCACCCCACTGTGTGCCCCCCACTGTGTGCCCCCCACACTCAGCACTGCTGCGTCCACCAGCGGGTGTCCTGCTCTCAAACCCCATCACAGAGGCTGCTCCTAGAACACTCCTGGTCCCAACCTTCTTGCGCCGGGTTCCTCTGGAAACAGACTCCGAAGAGAAGTCTGTGTGCGGGCCTTTATTGGCAGTGCTCTCGGAAGGGAAGTCCTGTGAGGGTGTGAGGGAAGGTGGGCTGGACAGAGAAGCAGATTGACAACAAGGCTGCTGCTACCGGGGCTCCGGCCGATCCTCTGAGAAGCTCGGGAGCTGGGGGTGCTTTTCAGTTACGTTGATGGAGGCAAAGCCTTGGTCATGCAGAGGGATGACAGCACTCGCTACAGAAGCCGCCTGAGGTCCAGGCTTGGAGACAGCAGCTCTAACTGGCTGCTTTCCTAACCTCCATGTTAAACCTGAGTAAACACCTCCTATGAAGGTCTTGAGAAGATAAACTCAAGCAGACGACTGAGGACCTGGAAGGAGGCGCAGGTAGTCTGGGTGAAGGAGGGTCATTACTCTTTTTTAACATGTACCTAAGCATGTATTTTAGGAAGTGAGGTAAAGCAATGAAAAGAACAGGCTTTTCTCTTTATTAAGCTTGTAGTCTGGTCTACACATGGTGTGTGTGTGTGTGTGTGTGTGTGTGTGTGTGTGTGTGTGTGTGTGTGTGTGTGAGAGAGAGAGAGAGAGACAGAGAGAGAGAGAGAGACAGAGAGAGAGAGAGAGAGAGAGAGAGACAGTGTGGTGTTGGGCGCTATGAAGCCAGAGGAGTAGGAAGTGGACAGGAAATCAGGAGACACAGAAAATGAGCTGAGGTTGGTGGCCTGCGGGTCAGCAAGGGCAGACAAGAGTGCACTTGGCCTGTGTGAGAAGCTAGGAGCCAGGGTGGCCCGAGGGAGGCCCGGGGACAGCAGAGGGGCAGGAGGGCAGCGGGAGGGACTGGGCAGCTTTGGCCTGATCAGGACCTCACCCGGACTGCGCACTCCCCTTGACCCCAGGTGGTCGGCAGCCCCTACTCTGAGGGGGCTGAGCTGGGCCAGGAATTCTTTTCCTTTGATACCTGTAGGTCTGAGTTTCTTAAAACCCTGTGCATGTGCCCCCCTCCCAAGCCTCTCGGCCAGGTTCCACCGCCCCCGCCTGGTCCCCCCCACCACCAACCCTAGCTCGGTCGCCCCCCCCCTCACCAGCAAATCTCGCCCGGTGGCCCCACCGCCCGACCAGGTACCCCCGCAATCCTGGCCGGATCCTCCCTGCGGGGCGAGACGCCCCCTCCGGGTCCCTTAGATGTCTCCTCGGAGGCCGACCCCGCCCCTCTGCGGGCCTTGGGATGTGGGCGGAGCCGTCTTGCTCCCGCCTCCTAACCCTCAGCCAATGGGCAGTTGGGAACGCGCTGTTGGCGGAACCGTAACGCTCCCGCCCCTCTGCGGGCCTTAGGCAATCGGGAACTGGGCAGGGCCGTGGGCGGAACCTCCCCGCCCCCACCCGCGTCCTCGGCCAATGAGCGGGCGTGTGGGCGGAGCCGGAGGTGGAGGTGCAGCGGACGCGCGGGCACGGGGTAGGGCGCAGAGCTCCGGGACTGCGCCGCCGCTCGGGCTCTGCTGCTCCGCGGGGCTCGGCGCGCGAATTCCGGGCAGACCCAGCATGGCGGTGGAGGAAGAGGGGCTCCGGGTGTTCCAGAGCGTGAAGATCAAGATCGGTGAGCTCCCGGGAGCTGGCGGGGGCGGCGGGGTCTTCGAGGGGGCTCGCGGCAGGCGCCCCCAGGCCCCCGACCCCTTCCCTGGGGGCCAAGGCCCTGACGCCTCCTGGCCATGTGTGCTCCCCGGTTGCGGCCCCTCCCCACCCCGGGAGATCCCCAGCCGCGGCCCCTCCCCACCACCCCGGAGGCCGCGGGCCTCGGCCCCCTCCCCATCACAGGGAGATGATGGGCCGCGGCTCCCTCCCCATCTCCAGGAGATGCCCGGCCGCTGCCCTCTCCCCACCTCCCCCAAGGACGGACTGGGCCGAGCCGGGCCGGCGGCTCCGGGGGACGCAGCTCCCTGCGCAGCTCCCTGCGCTGCCTCCACGCCACTAGCGGCCCCAGGTCCCCGGAGGTGGGGTCGCCAGCAGCAGAGGGAGGTGCGGTGCCGGTCTTGGGTCGGGTCCCCGCTGGGAGTGTGTATCTGCGTGTGCATGAGCGCGCGCGCGGGTGCTCTCCAGATGAGTGCATTTCAGGTGCCAAAAACACCAACCCCGGGGTTCCGAGCCTCGCTGAGTGCGGTACCTAGACCCTTCCTTCGCTGGGGACGTGGAAGCTCTTTCACATTCCCCCAGGGGCGAGGGGCCGAGCGGGCGGCTGAATGGAGCCTGGGTGTGCACGCGACTGTGTAGGTGGATGTGTGGGCATGTGTATGTTCCTGCGCGTTTGTGTGTGTGTGTGTGTGTGTGTGTGTGTGTGTGTGTGTGTGTCTGCCTGTGACTCTGTGGAACGCTCTGGCCCAGGGCTTCCTCCGGGCAGGTCGCCACAAGAGCCACCCCTCCCCCTTCCATTGAGAACTGGCTGCGGGAGCTTTTGGCCACCAGGGCCTGCCATTCAGGTCGTGTCCCCAGAGCAGTCTGCCTTTCTCACTGGACCCAAGAGCTGGGGGAGGGAAGTGCAGATTCTGGAGTGGGCTGGAAGGCTGTATCTGGACTTCCTGGGTTTATCTGGAGAGACTTGCTTTTTCCCAGTTCTGTTTTAACTTGGGAGGGTGATGTGCAAGTTTCTTCTCCCCAAAACAAGCTCGGTTCCTGGAGTGACTGTTGCACATTAATGCCATAAATGTGCCAGCTGAGAGGACAGCTCCTATTGGAGAGGGCTGCTGAGACCCTGGTGTGTTGTCTGTCCTCGGGGCCCTTCTTGCCCATTGAATGCCTGGGTCCTCCACATTCCCATGTGAAAAAAGGGGCTCTGGGAACCAAGCCAGGCGCCCAGTGACTGCTGGAGTGTCAGTTGCTGGTGACATTCGATGCTGCTTAGGAATTCCAGCTACCCGAAATCAGCGTGTTGTTTCCTGTCTGCTTTATTTTGGTTTATGGATCATCGCTGAGACGCTGTTGATATTTGGCTCAGAAGCACTCTGCAGATAGGATGTGGTCGCACTTCAGCCTTGAGGAGCCTCTGCCTGGAGAGGGTTTCTCTTGTTTACTTGGTTGAAATCTGCTGTCACTTTCTGCTGAGAGGTTCAACATGGCACTCCAGCTGAAGTGTGGCAGGGAAAGTGCCTCTCAGTGCCAGGGTCCAGTGAGCATGAGGGCGATGCCAACCCAGAGGCCTTGAGGTGCTTCCTTAATCAGGGTACAGGAAGGGGTGGGGCATGGCTGTGAGGCCTGTGCCAGGCTTGTGGGTGCAGCAGGCGGGAAGGGGTCTGGGGACCTTGGGGTTCAGGCCCCGCACGGCCAGCCTGGACTCGACTCAGGAGGGCTCTGGAACGGTGTGTTAAGCAGAGAGGATTGACTTCTTTCGAGAATGGCACCGAGGAGATCTGCTGGCCTGGCAGGGCGCCCTCACGGGAGGTTCTGGACCTCACACACAGGGGCCACGTGTGGAAGGAAGGGCTTTGAAGATGCTGCTCGGTTAGGCTTTCCCTGTTTTGTGCTTCAGTTTAAACAAGTGAGAGAGATGCCCAGCTCAGCTGAGGATTAGTGCAGCGACTGAACATCTGCTGGTCTAACTCCGTGTGGGCACGGGGTATTATTAGAACCTTTGGAGCCCCGCCCCCACGTCTGGGGGCTGTGGCAGAGCGGATGAGCAGAAACGTCTGTGCGCAGTGGTCCAGCTCCCTGGACGTGGCTCCAGCTCTCAGAAGCCCCTGTCTTCTCCCCTCTGCAAGGGTCTTCACCTGCAGCTCGGGGCTGCAGGAGGGAGACATCTGTGTCCCACCCTGGTTGCTGGGGCTTGCAGGGAGCAAGGGCCTGCGCACAGCACAGGCATTGGAGCAAAGAGGTGTCCTGGGCTGTGCTGCCGACTTAGAGCTGGGGCCGGCCCCAGAGGTGAGCTGTGGGGACTGGCCTGGGGCTTCGTCTTGTTCCGCTGTGAGTAGACAGGGCCTGGTGGGTGGTGGCCCGAGCTCTCCGTTTCTCTCCTTAGTCCTCTTCTGTGGCCAGTCTTGACTCTGACTTGCCTGAGTGCCCCAGCCGTGAAGGTACGATGACGAGGAAGGACACCAGAGATGACCTGGAGGAGGGGCGGCTGCACAGGAATCATGGGCGTGCTCACCTCCTTGTTCCGGGAGACCCTGGCCGGCTGGCCATTCATGCTGAGCCCTGTCTCCGGGCGGCTGGCAGCGTGCCCGTGTCTGCTGGTGGCCTGCCGGCCTGCCGGCTGGAAGACCCAGGGCAGGCACCCCCCCGCCCCCCTTTCCTGGCCTCGTTTTTCCATTTGCGAAATGCCAGCAGTCATTGTCTGCAGCATCCGGTGGGAGCCCCTCATCCCAGAAAGAGACAGAGAGAAATTCTCCCTCCAGTTATACCACAACAGTGTCACCGTTCCTGTTGCTGAGGGGAAAGGCGGAACATTTTGGGGGGCTGAAGAGTTTTAGTGGGGGCCTTGGCCGTTTAGTCCTTAGAGAATCTGGAGCATGTGGAGGTGGTACGTGGCCGCGGAGAGGCTGCCGCCGGGGGACGGGGAAGCGTCTCCTCCGCTTTTCCCCTCGGCTCCCTTTTCCTCCCTCCTTCCGCGAAGGAGCCGGTACGGAAGAGCAGGGTATTTTTATTGTAACTATCTCAAGTCCTTGTCCTGAAGAACTCGTGTCTTTCCCACTTAAATCTCGCAGTTATTTTGGACCGTTCTGCTGCACACTTGAAAATCTTACCCGCGGTCTATCTTTGGTGACAGCAGTATCTCATGTCACGTAAGACCGAACACACTTCCTGTGCGGCTGCTTGAGGAAGTGTGTGCTCCTCTGGCTTTCCGTGAGTCAGGGCTCAGCCCTGGGAGGGACGCAACGTGAGGGTTCGTAGGCGGCGACGGGTGAAGACTCCCGGCGAGAGCACCTCTGCCCAGCAGGGTCGTTGGGACTCGGCGCTCCTTTAGGCCTTGCTTTGCGCTCGGCGCTCCTTTAGGCCTTTGCTTTCCCGTGATATTTCCCTTTTCCATGATAGTTACTCCTTGTTTCTAAAAGTGTCATCTTGATAAATGTGTCCAATTAAGAGCAATGTACAAAGGTATTTCTCTCAAGCTAAAAAAAGAAAATCCTGGCCTTGCCCTTGAGGGTGAGAAAAGCCCTCTTGGGCTGTGAGCGGGTCTCGTTGTTGTCAGGTTCGAGGGCAGCTTGGGGATGCGTGGCGAGCCCCATGTGAGGCCACAGGGCAGAGCTTCCTTCTTGGACCCAGAGCAGCGGCCCCCCTGCTCTGCCCGGGCTCAGAGCACCCACTCCTATCCCTTCTCATTCAGATTAGTACCCGTCACCAAGAAGGGCCAGGGCGGTCTGGGTGCAGCACGAGCACAGGGGAAGCGACGTGTCCCCATTCAGCCAGACGTGGCCCCGCAGCAGCTGGCTGTAGGCCCGCCCGCCCCCCAAACGTCACCCCCCCCCCCGAAGCAGGAGGCCGCTCAGGTCGGGGAAGCGGGGAGCAGGGAGGGCCCCCGGGCGGCCTGGAGAAGCCCCAGACCGCAGGGGCTGGGAGCTCAGGGTTCTAGGGCCGCGCTGCCGAGAGCGTGATTTTTTAACCCAGTGTCCAAGGTGGGAAGCGGTGGCGCGCCAGTCCCGGGGTCTGCAAGGCTCAGGCGGGGCGTCCAGCTTACAAGTGGCAGCGGTTGTCAGCAGCCGGGTGTCACAGGCTCCGTTAGAGGACACGTGCTGTGCGCACGATGGCCGACGTCCGCGCGAGGCTGCGCGTGAGTCAGGGAGCGGGGAGCTGCGCCGGCCACGCACGGTTCTTGGCATCAGGGGCTGCGTGTTCTTCGGAGCTCTCTGATGCTAAAATTAGCCTGGATACTCTATTAACCTGGGAGCGCAGCTCGCGGGCTATTTTTGGCCCCTGAGGACCGGTGTGCAGACTGGCACTGCCCGCGGGGCCGCAAGGTCAGCCGCCTGGCCGCAGCCCGCGGATCTAGGCTCCTCCGGGCAGCGGCGTGTGCTGACGTGTGAGGTGGGGAGGGTGCAGACTTCAGCGTCTAGCGTGTGCCTTCTCTCATTGCACCTAAGCTCTCACAAGCCCGCGTGGAGTCACCTGCCCAGGGTCTTGGCCTGCAGGGGGCGGGAGCTCGCCTCGCGTGCTGCCTCCTGCCTGGTAACGTGCATGGACAGGAGGGGCCACCGGTGCCCCTGAGGGGAGGGCCCGGGCCACTGGCGCCTGTGGGAGGACCGGGGTGTGCGCACATGGCCCCTAGTGCAGGTGTTGGCCGGAAGCTGGAGGGGACAGAACTCGTGAAGGTGCGATTGAACAGGGCACGAGATCCAGAGCCGACCCCTCGAGCAGGGCCACCTGCAGCCCACGGAGCCCCGGGCACGCAGGGAAAAGGGTCTGCAGGTGGTGGGGCCCTGAGGACGGGTCATGGGGCTGCAAAACACCATTTGGCAGAAAACGTCTGGATTTGTTTCTCTGAAGCTAACGAGGCACTTGCGTGTGTCAACACTCACACCTTCCAGAGAGTATTTGGGAAATCAGGACATCGGAGCATCACGCTTTAGAAACAACCACAGTGGGAGCAGCTAAGCCCGAGAAGTGAGGTTTGCA